TATCGAAAGGGTGTGCAACGGAAAACTGCGCCCAAAAAATGTGAGAAAGGGCATTTTTTATTTCTTAAATCGAGCATTTATAGACATTAATAAAAAAAATGACCATATGTACAATGTTGTAGAAAACATTTTTTCCAGGAAATAGAACAAAATTAAAGTTTATTAGTATAATTAATTTGTATTGGCGCATTTTTTCTGTTAGCGCAGTTTCCGTTGCGCAGTTTACCATTTGCGCATTTTTCTCGGAACCATTACTACACCATTCATCCGATCGCCATGATATTTTGCGAAGTTGTTGAGTACACTCAAGTGCAGGTTTATTCAATAACAAAAACATACAAATAGGAGGGACGGTGTCCTGATGGTCGTGTGATCCAGAATGCCCCAGGAACCCCCATAACATACATTATGGCGCCCACATTCTTTTTAGAGAGCGCCCTACACGAGGGATGCGGTGGGCTACTAGAAACAATGACTACATCGAATCAGGAGAGGCACCCAGCAGCCCTCCAGTAGTGTAACAAGTAGCTCCCAAGAACAATACGGGCAGCCCCTGAGACTTGATTTTTTTGCCGAGGTATGTCCAAACTTATCCTAGCGGATGGTGATCAAGGTACACACAATGTTTTCGTACAGTTTAACATGGGGCGTATGGGGGGTAGTGTGGACAAACCGGCGCCCCAACAACTACGATCCAAGAATAGTAGAGCCGCCCTTGTTAACGATTCAATAACTTGAGTCTTCCAATACAAATCCACACGTCTAAAAATACCCGATACACCAAACTCTCATACAGAGTTGTGCCAGTTCAGCGTGAAGGACTAGAATTGGAGAGTCTGTGCTTCTCATATTGACATCGGTGTGTGATCGGGTATCCACAAGCACTTGAATAAATACATACAATTTAACTGACACTTTGAAATGTTTTCCAAAATTAAACGAATAATAAGTTTTGATAAAAATGACACAATGTAAATTGTTATCAAAACAAGCGTTGGTGTATTTTTTCTTTGCATCGCTGTGACTTGGAAGGGGGGAGGGGTGGGTACGCTAGTTGTAAATGAGTGTTGTCGGGAGAGGGAGAGAAGTGTGAACTAGAGATCATAAAAGTGGGTTCCGATTAAATCATAGCCAATCTAGATTCAGTTGGTCTCCCATAACATATCGGGTTGATAGAAATATTTATGGATTATAATCTGCAGAGTAAAAAAAAAATTATTATACAATTTCTTAGCGTTTTTAAATATTTAATTTAAATATTGAAAAAAATAATTATGAACTCTTGTTTCGCCAATGTAAATAATAATGATCTGGCCACTTTCCGCCGTTGTACGCTGCCTAACAACAAATATCTTTATAAATGCATTTCATATTGAAGATGGTCTCATTATAACAAAATTGTACATAAACATTGCATACAAATGACAAACTGCGTCTTATTTTTTAGTAACGCTTTTATTTATTTTTTTAAAATAAGCTACAAGGCAATGGTTTGAAAAGTAAAATAAAAATAGTTTCTTAAATCACATTCATACTCAGCCTCAACTTGCGAAGCAAACGTGAGACAACATATAAATATCTCCCACATATATTCCCTCACATAGCACCATAGTATAATGCAATCTTCAAAAAACAAATTAAAAGAAAATAATGCAGATTTAAAGGTACCGCCGTGGCTATGCCCCCTCGATAAGGGAAAAGTAAAAAGAGAACACAATGGATCTTTGGAAAGTTGATATTGCAATGTAAGGCAAGAAATGGTATTTACTGTCGGAGTAACATGAGTTGGACATTGGCCCCATAATCTAAACATGTTATATAATCCCTAATCTAAACATATCACATGATCCCCAATCTAAACATATCACATGGTCCACAATCTAAACATATCACAAATGATCCCCAATCTAAACATATCACATGATCCCCCAATCTAAAAATGTCACATGATCCCCAATCTAAACATGTCATGTGATCCCCTTATAAAGACGTTACGTAACCCCCCAATATAAACATATCACGAGATCCCAGTCTGAAGATGCCACGTGACCACGTTACGTGATCTAAATATGTCCAATGATCCCCAAGCTAGCGATGTCATGTGATCCGCGATCTAAAATCGTCATTTGAACCCAGATCTAAGGATGTCATTGGACCCACAATCTAAACTTGTCATTTGACCCCCAATCTAAACATGTCATGTGACCCCCAATCTAAAGATGTCATGTGACCCCCAATCTAAAGATGTCATGTGACCCCCAATCTAAAGATGTCATGTGACCCCCAATCTAAGGATGTTGTGAACCCCAATGTAAGGATCTTATGTGACCCCCAATCTAAGGATGTCATGTGACCCCTAATCTAAGGATCTTATGTAACCCCCAATCTAAGGATGTCATGTGACCCCTAATCTAAGGATCTTATGTAACCCCCAATCTAAAGATGTCATGTGACCCCCAATCTAAAAGATGTCATGTGACACCCAATCTAAAGATGTCATGTGACCCCCAATCTAAAGATGTCATGTGACCCCCAATCTAAACATGTCATGTGACCCCCAATCTAAAGATGTTGTTAACCCCAATGTAAGGATCTTATGTGACCCCCAATCTAAGGATGTCATGTGACCCCTAATCTAAGGATCTTATGTGACCCCCAATCTAAGGATGTCAAGTGACCCCTAATCTAAGGATCTTATGTAACCCCCAATCTAAAGATGTCATGTGACCCCCAATCTAAAGATGTCATGTGACCCCCAATCTAAAGATGTCATGTGACCCCCAATCTAAACATGTCATGTGACCCCTAATCTAAGGATCTTATGTGACCACCAATCTTAAGATGTCACGTCATCACCTATCTGACCATCCAAACACCAATCCACCCTTCTTTATAAACATAACCTCCCTTGTGTGAACATGACATGACCTCTCCCTTGTAAATATGTAACATCATGCCAACGCTACCCTCTCCCTTCTACCTCTCCCTAACCCCCCCCCCCCCCAACCTCCCCCCCCCCATATTTTCTCAAAAATACTCTCCCACAATAGGGCTGGTAAGTAGGTCACCAGTTCTATGGCTCATGCAGGTTTTATTGAGCCGTAGAACTGGTTGGTGACCTACTTACCAGCCCTATAACCCCCATCCCTTTAATGAGTTTTTCAGTTACATCACATCACCATCTTTTCAAACTCCAAACTTGCTGTGCTCATACCCCTAGAACCGTAACGTCAGAAAGCTACATCAAAATCTCATTAATAAACCTCACTCCTGTGTTCTCATCGCAGGTATTGACTTTTATGGTTAACCAACAACAAATATATCTATCATCAAAGAAAAAATGTGAAGTAAGAAACAAGATAGCATAAGAAATAAATAAAAATGTCATGTTTAAAAGGTAACACGAAACGCCTAAGGGAGACAACTCTAGATCTTAGCGTTAGATTACTGGTAAATCGCAGAACAATTGATTTCTGAACGATCAGCTTGAAAATTTAAAACTAAAATATGATACGGGGATTAACGATTGGATTATGTAATAGTTTTTAAAAATCCCCCAACGTTAACAAGCCATTTAAATAATAATTTATAAATGCAAAAAAGAGACATTTTATTATTATACAAGTCAGGTTTGTAAATATCTTAAATATATGATTAATATTCAGTTGCATTGTACAAGTGCCACAAATAAGATTGGAATGATAGACAACTCTGGGTCCATGTATTGGAATGTCTTCTTTTTGTATCAAACTTTGCGTAAAAGTTAAACACTATATTGTGACGATAAGGCACTAAATCTTGACATATGAACACATGCACGTATTTAGTTCAGTCTTCTTTAGGTAGTTTCGGAGACCAGTCTGTGTTCAATTAAAATCCTGAAATAGGTTTACTATCAAGTAAATTAACAAAAAGATTGTGTTTCGTGAAGTTAAGTCATAAAATTTTAAGTGATTCCTTAAATTACGTCACTATTGCCTACACTGTTTCCTTAAATTACGTCAAAGAATATGTTTCCTCATAGCGCGTCTGTCTCTTCATACTACATTACGTCCCATTATTAAACAAAAGACCCATTGTTAATTAAATAAGTCAACATTGGATTTACTCTACCAGCTACATGGTTGAGGCCTACTTTAAGTATGTCATAAAATATTAATATGCTAAAAATATGCTTATAAATGTATATATATATATATACATATATATACATACATATATATATATATATATATATATATATATATATATATATATATATATATATATATATATATATATATATATATATATATATATATATATATACATATATATATATATATATATATATATATATATATATATATATATATATATATATATATATATATATATATATATATATATATATATATATATATATATGTATGTATGTATGTATGTATACATGTAATATCAAATACATCATACATGTGGGCATATGTTATATTAATTATCATACTGTTACATCAAATATGCAAATACATGCAACATTGGATTAGGGCTGAAGTTATGTTACAGATTCAGCTATATTTGGACTTCATCTGTATTAGGGCTGTAACTATAATTCAGTTAAAGTTATACTTTTTGAACTGTTTCTATGACCTCGGTTTGCGAGGGGACAGTGTGAGCAGTTATATGCCCAGTCATCTTTACTCTCTGTAAATGTGAGTCAGGTACCCCCCCCCCCCCCAGAGCTGAGTGGATGTAGGAACGTCCCACCGACTCAAACCCGGGATAGGAAATGGAAATGCCATAGTTATTAAGGCTACACGTGTTATATACTGTTCAGGTAAAAAACAATTGTAAAGTTAACATAAACATACATTTGAAATAAGGTCATCTTACTTATAAATAAAACCAATACAAAAGTGAATAATCTAACTTATAACTAAAACAGGATATCATTAAAACATATACAACGTGTAGTCAAACCTATCATTAAAAAAAAATATAGCCTAAACATACCAATAAAATAAATGTAAAATAAAGCCAACCATACTTATAAAATAAATACAAAGTATAGTCTAAAGAAACCTATAAATTAAATACAATATATAGCATAAAATATCACTAAACCAAATGTTGAGGATTTGCGTTCAGATGAGTATTCGAACCTGAGACATCCGCCTCAAAAAATAACTACCGACTGGTCTTTTTGAAAAGTGCGGGCGAAAAAGCTGTGCGCCTGCTCCCACTCCGTCAGCTTGTGTGAGCGAGCCGACCAAAGTCTCCTGAAATCTGACGCCATCTTGGAGCGGAACGCTAAAAACTCGAATTTATTGTTGACTTGGATTTCTTCCACTGGATCTGGTCTCTCGCTGGGAGAAATCTGGCCATGGATGTTGTAAATCTCCATGGTAACATTTCCCTCGCAAAGCAACCCGTAGAGGTAAGCGTCATCAATCGGGACAAAGTCCTCGACGTTAAAAGAAGCTTCCAGTAATTTTGGAATCACGTTTCCGGTCATGAGCGTGAAATACCCAGAACAAAATGGCGGCCATGTTGTGCGGTTAGGCAACAGCGAATCCGGCACGTACCATCTGCCGTGCTCACGAGGAATGGGCATATCCGTCTTGTGGTCGCACGCCACGCCAGACGGCATTACCGACAGTTTGGGGACCAGCTCCCGCACGACCCTGAACGTGTCAACAAACATGTCGTCGTCTGCTTTCATAATATACCGCGCCTGCGAGCAGTGCGTGTTGACCCAGGCCAGCATCGTGAGCGCCTTGTAGGTCAGGTTCTTGAACGTGTCCAGGAAGTTCCCCTGCACGATATCCCCGTAAGCGGAGTACTCCGTATCGACGTGCAACTGCTGGAGCGTGTCCTCCGCCTTGCCCAGGATGAAAATCCTTTTAATACTTATATCCGTGAAGATCTGGGTGTTAGCCCAAGATTCCCGGATGCCACGCCTCTCTTCCCTGTGACTGACAGCTGAATGGACGTAAATTAAAATGTCTACCTTTTCCTCGTTGCAGAGATCCGGATTTTCAATGATGTAGCCCAGAAAAAACTGGTGTTCGAATAAATCCATCGTTGAGGCATTGACGTCCGGTCGACTGTCGAACCAAAGTCTGGTTGTTCGGGGAAGCTCGGATCCTTCCAGAGTGCTGCTGTTCTGAGAGAGGAGGTTGCTGGCGTTCATTGCCTGAAGCTGAAGCGCCGAGTTCAGCCTCTGGGTTTTCTGCAAGTCTTGCAGCGTCCGCACGAGCTCCTCGTTCTTCCAGGAGAGGACGAGAGGCTTGAAGGTGGCGGGGAGCTGGACCAGGAGCAGCATCAGGACCGACCCGAAGGCGATGAAAGGAAGACCTTTCTTGAGCATGCGCATTGGCACTGTGAAACCCATAGTGACTGACGATGTATCAAATGCCGAAACTACTCAGCTTATTAACTTGACGCATAAGTTTTATAAGCACATTTTAATCTTTGTTGTCAAATATTAAATGTTTATATAAAAAAGGAGAATTGTTTAATAAGATTGTTTGATATTTAAAGTATAAATATTAGCCAGTTTTCTCCCTTTAATTTGAAAGTTGAAAAATTTAGATCGAACCATCGACCTGTTGTCGTACTCTTCCAAATCAGGCCCTTTCGGCTGCTCCAAGTGCAACGAAAACATAAATAATTCACAAACACAAGGTCAAGGTGACATCACGCCTGCACAGAGAACAAAAAATGAGAAAAATAAAAAAATTCTGGCCGGTTTCGGTTCTATCCTCCTTCCTCCGTGACGTCATAACACGCCGCCATTGTTTGGCTCTCTTTAATTTTTGTCAATGAATATTTTTGTTAGAAGCGATGCGTGTCTGAGGAGAGAAAACAATGGAAGAGAGGCTCAACAATTTGCTCACCTATGTTTGGGTGTGGTCAGTTCTAATTGGTTACAATGTAGTCTGACCACTTTTTAGTGGGCATAGTGCTTAACATACACGTTATATAAAAATTACTAGATTCTACTTCATTAAAAAGCAAAACAAAAGTGTATACATTTTCGTGTTATGTTTATATGAGCTACAATGATACATTGACTTTATGCACTTAAGCTTAACGTCTCGGTAGTACGCGCAGTCATGGAGAGTAGCAACAGATAGTAGGTAACTACAGAGCTGTTGAGCTTCTACAAAGTCCAGAGTTCATTGTTTTCATTTACATTAACAGAACGTTATCGTTTTGCTTGTGGTCTGTTTGGTGTTTGGTGAATGATTTGCTCTTGAAGATCTGCTGATGAATTATAATATGTCGATGAATATTCCGTTGATGAATAAACTTCTGATAAATAATCTTATAACGTATGGTGTTTTGATCAAGGATATGTTGATGTGTGATATGTTATGTTATTGTATGACACTTTCAAACAAACGAAAACAATATCTTCAGAAATTCTAATCAAATAAAGCCAATGACGAACCCAATAGCTTTACAACTAGATTGTACATGAAGCACTCATTAATGTGTTATCAGCTATGTGACAATTGCAACAAAGAGTTGGAAGAGCAACTCAAATGTATTTTACTTCCGGATTCTAAGTATCACATGTAGATAGGCTAAATTGATAGAATGGTGTAGTTAAGATATGTTTAAGTGTCATTCCATATACATGTTTATATATATATATATATATATATATTTATATATATACATATGTGTGAACATTTTAATTTTAAAGCTCCACCCCCCCCCCCCCCCCCAATACATGACGACAAATTATTTCCTACTCCACTGATATGCTACACTTTTAGATAACGAAGAGCCATTTTTAAAGATATTTTAACATTTTAAATTTTTAACGGTATTAAGGATTTAAGTGTTGTATGTAGGCAGAATATAACTGTAAAAAAAAGTCAAACCCGAATATTTTGTGAATTTTATTTGTCTAAGTAAGTGATTTTAAAAGATTACTTAACATTCACAATAAAAAGTATTTTGCAAACGATAGGCGGGAAATACGTTGATAAGCAAACAGCGTTACGGCAAAATGTTTTAAAAGGTTTCATTACGGGGTACACACGAAAACAACCTGGGAACCGTTGAGATAACGGGTTGGGCTAGGACGAAAACACGGCATTGTTGTGTTAAAGTACAAGATAACGGTGTGAGGGTGGTGTGAGGAGCCGGTGATGGGGAGTGAGTGTGTGTGTATGGGGGGGGGGGTTGGGGATGAGAGAGTAAAAAAAAATTGTGTACTTAGTTTGTCAACACCATTCATAAAACCATGTGTGACAATACGCCATATGATTCAGTAACAATATGGTCATATTGACAGTGACAATGGGCCATATAGTGACAGTGACATTGGGCCATAGAGTGACAGTGACGATGGCCCATATAATGACAGTGACAATGGGCTATATAGTGACAGTGACAATGGCCCATATAATGACAGTGACATTGGGCCCTAGAGTGACAGTGACAATGGCCCATATGGTGACAGTGACAATGAGCTATATAATGACAGTGACAATGGGCCATATAGTGACAGTGACAATGGGCCATAGAGTGACAGTGACAATGGGCCGTATAATGACAGTGACAATGGGCCATATAGTGACAGTGACAATGGCCCATATAATGACAGTGACAATGGGCTATATAGTGACAGTGACAATGAGCTATACAGTGACAGTGACAATGGCCCATATAATGACAGTGACAATGGGCTATATAGTGACAGTGACAATGGGCCATAGAGTGACATTGACAATGGGCCATATAATGACAGTGACAATGGCCCATATAGTGACAATGACAATGGGCCATATAATGACAGTGACAATGGCCCATATAATGACAGTGACAATGGCCCATATAATGACAGTGACAATGGGCCATATAGTGACAGTGACAATGGCCCATATAATGACAGTGACAATGGCCCATATAGTGACAGTGACAAAGGGTCATATAGTGACAGTGACATTGGGCCCTAGAGTGACAGTGACAATGGCCCATATGGTGACAGTGACAATGAGCTATATAATGACAGTGACAATGGGCCATATAGTGACAGTGACAATGGGCCATAGAGTGACAGTGACAATGGGCCGTATAATGACAGTGACAATGGGCCATATAGTGACAGTGACAATGGCCCATATAATGACAGTGACAATGGGCTATATAGTGACAGTGACAATGAGCTATACAGTGACAGTGACAATGGCCCATATAATGACAGTGACAATGGGCTATATAGTGACAGTGACAATGGGCCATAGAGTGACATTGACAATGGGCCATATAATGACAGTGACAATGGCCCATATAGTGACAATGACAATGGGCCATATAATGACAGTGACAATGGCCCATATAATGACAGTGACAATGGCCCATATAATGACAGTGACAATGGGCCATATAGTGACAGTGACAATGGCCCATATAATGACAGTGACAATGGCCCATATAGTGACAGTGACAAAGGGTCATATAGTGACAGTGACATTGGGCCCTAGAGTGACAGTGACAATGGCCCATATGGTGACAGTGACAATGGGCTATATAATGACAGTGACAATGGGCCATATAGTGACAGTGACAATGGCCCATATAATGACAGTGACAATGGGCTATATAGTGACAGTGACAATGAGCTATACAGTGACAGTGACAATGGCCCATATAATGACAGTGACAATGGGCTATATAGTGACAGTGACAATGTGCCATAGAGTGACAGTGACAATGGGCCATATAATGACAGTGACAATGGCCCATATAGTGACAGTGACAATGGGCCATATAATGACAGTGACAATGGCCCATATAATGACAGTGACAATGGCCCATATAATGACAGTGACAATGGCCCATATAATGACAGTGACAATGGCCCATATAGTGACAGTGACAAAGGGTCATATAGTGACATTGACAATGGCCCATATAATGACAGTGACAATGGCCCATATAATGACAGTGACAATGGCCCATATAGTGACAGTGACAATGGCCCATATAATGACAGTGACAATGGCCCATATAGTGACAGTGACAATGGGCCATATAGTGACAGTGACAATGGCCCATATAATGACAGTGACAATGGGCTATATAGTGACAGTGACAATGAGCTATACAGTGACAGTGACAATGGCCCATATAATGTCAGTGACAATGGGCTATATAGTGACAGTGACAATGGGCCATAGAGTGACAGTGACAATGGGCCATATAATGACAGTGACAATGGCCCATATAGTGACAGCGACAATGGGCCATATAATGACAGTGACAATGGCCCATATAATGACAGTGACAATGGCCCATATAATGACAGTGACAATGGCCCATATAATGACAGTGACAATGGCCCATATAGTGACAGTGACAAAGGGTCATATAGTGACATTGACAATGGCCCATATAATGACAGTGACAATGGCCCATATAATGACAGTGACAATGGCCCATATAGTGACAGTGACAATGGCCCATATAATGACAGTGACAATGGCCCATATAGTGACAGTGACAATGGCCCATATAGTGACAGTGACAATGGCCCATATAATGACAGTGACAATGGCCCATATAGTGACAATGGCCCGTATAGTGACAGGGGGGCATATGTTGACATGCCTACTGAATCTTACTTGAGAGAAACTGTCCTTCATCTTCACACGTTAACAAGTGTTTACATCTCGTACTGTAAAACCCAATCACTCGGGCACTTACTTAAAACCGAGACAAATATCACGTTACTCATGCAATCGTGTGACTCTACGGTGTACTCACTCGTTTTATTCACGTGTAAGACTGCAGGCGCTAAGTAAAATCTGATTAATTAACCCCAGGTAATTATGTTTCAATGTTTTAATTGGGTACCAAATGAAGTCACGAAGATTATCTGCGCAAAAGGTAAAACTTCTATAATTAGCTACCTGTGATTTACCTTTAAGGGCGTTAATAATTAATCCGCACGATGTTCTAAAAATAGAATGGGTCGATGCTTATTTGCGGTAACTGAGCGAGTAGTGTCTAGACAAGAAATGGTTTAACAGTTGAACATTGCGTCTAGACAAGAAATGGTCTTAGCTTTTTTTTTTTTTTTTTAAATGAGTGAAACATGCTCTAAACTATTCCAAACTGTACGCCAGAGGTCGGCTAATCCACTAGTAGCGTTATGATATAACTAAAAAATTATTTTAAAAACAAATATAGGTCCGTATAAAGACTAACAATGGTTTTATAATATCGTTTCTCAAGTTACAAAAAAAATAATCTAACTCTCACTTAAACTCACACGACAAAGTTATTTTTTTAAACCCAAATATCACTTTTTTTTATGGCCAAGCCTGCACTACAAATTCAGGGTTTTAGAGAGGGGTGGGGTGGGACGGGGGACGGGCTGTCTAGCATTAGACGTCTAGGGTGGGGGTGGGGGGGCTGTCTGGCATTAGACGACCCGGGGTGGGGGTGGGGGGCGGGCTGTCTAGCATTAGACGACTTAGGGCTGCCTTATATAAGACAAAATGTCAGAGTGTGTCGCATGTGTTCCACCTCAAGTGCCAGGGCGGGGCAGTTAAGGCGGATGTGTGCTGGAATAAATCTTGTGGGTGGGGCGAAATGGCTTAGAACATGTAATGTGATGGGGAAAATAGTGGGGTTCTATAGAAACTTAAGAATGGCCTTAAATGACATCAATATGTTATATAATACTGGATGACATCAAGATGTGGCACTGGATGACACCAACATGTAGTGTGACACTGGATGGCACCAACATGTAGTGTGGCACTGGATGACACCAACATGTAGTGTGGCAGTGAATGACACCAACATGTAGTGTGGCACTGGATGACAC